TCCTCGGGCAATCGTATCGCTTCTTCAATGCTTGCACCAACTGATGGTAGTTGTTCCGACCTGGTTCAAGATCCTGCAATACCACTTGAGCTTCTCCCTTAATTAGATTCATCAAATAGAGGTACTTCATATTGAGGTCGATGTTGGGGTCGTTGTGTACAGCTAACTCGAACGCACACCAAAACTGCTGGAACTTGGTGACATCTCCATCGAAGTGCGGCAACGTTAACTTCTCCAACTGGATCGGTAAGTGCTGCGACGATGGAACAGTCTGTGTGGGCGTGAGCTGTAGATGTTCCGACTGATGTGCAACGTCCAACTGTGTGTCTACACTCTGTAGACGTGCGGCGTTATCTATGGGGGTGCGATCTTCTCGCTGGGGCGTCGTCACAATCCCTGTCGTCTCCATACAGTTATCCTCGCTGATGGAATTGGCGAGTCGATGGATACGGAGGGTGTGAAACTGTTCGCTATCCGCTTCCTGGGTGTCTTGCAAAGTACGAAGGAGCGCTTCGGTGTCGGCCTGATGTTGATCCACACCGTACTTCTCCTCGAACTTGCTATACGCTTCCTGGTCCGTCGGCGAGTTGGATGTAGTGATGTGATACAGTAACAAGGCACGACGTTCCCTTAGGAGCGAAAGTGCAGCTTTGAGGCCCACTATGTGGTAATGTGCGGCTGTCTGACGTTGCTGGAGCTGATGGAGTTGCTCGACAGCTGGGGCATCAGACACTAAAGGAGTAAGTAAGTCTGGACTTACCTGCTTCCTCGCAGCCTGCAGGTCCTCAATAGCCTTGACGACCTTCGGAAGGTAGGACTCCACAGTTGTCACGGTAGCCATGTCGATCGATAATAGAACGTCGAAAGCGTGCAGGAGGTAGTAACTGCTAACCCAAAGTCTGGAAGGTTGTATTTGTAGGGAATGTGTAAAGGAACAGTGACCACTTGACGAAATGGCCACATAAATGGTAAGTACGAGAACACGAGTGAAATTGAAAGAGCGGTGAACAACAACACGAACGCAAACCCCGGATGTGAGTATGGGGCGAAAGTGGCAATAGTAGAGAATGAGCAACGAAACCGCAAGAAACAAAGTAATAACTAGGTGTGACCACAAGATACGCACAAGAGGGGGAATGAATGCACAATGCGGGCATAGATGCGCGAAAGAAGAAGGTAATTTGGGGCGAGGCTCTCATCAAACCCAACAAACAGGGCTCTTTCGTCGGCCTGATGGCGTGTTTCAAGGCAGACAGAGCTATCCGCGGTCCTCCATGTATGCGAAAAAACCTGGCCATCAGAAGGCACCAGACAGTCCCGGGCAGTAGGCAGGGCGTAGATTACTGCTGCCACGTCAGGTCTACGGGATCACCCTACTCCCAATCTAAGTGGAACTGTGGGTAGTCGCGTATTCGCGTCAGCCTAGTCGCTACGGAGCTTACTGATGAAACGAAAGATGAGTCCTCTCATGGAGCACAAGGAGCAGCAAAGTATGTGTACACTGTGCAAACATCCCGAATGAGAATTTAGAATTTAGACTGTTAGCTGGGGGACACTAATGTGTAAGGTGTGTATGCGTGGGCCGTGCAGGCAAGGTCCGATCGCAAAAGCCAGACATAGGTTTACTATCCCTATGCCCAACTCCGTCACGATGCACCATGTCGCGGATTGGGCCCCCAGCTCCCCACGTCAGTGGATACGGCTCACCTGCATCGGCATATGGGAGCCGGGGACCCTCTCCGTGAAAGGGTTCACGTCACTTGGGGCGGTAGCTAGCCTGCACTAAATGCTATTGTGCCTGCCACACGGCATAACGCCTGACTCTTAGGGGCCCTGAGCTACCAGCTCACCTAGTAACAAATGCAGCCTGGGGCGTTGGCTCCATTCTCACTACTGACACTTGGGGCATGCCATCACCACTTGGCACTAGCCGGCATCGTGCCAGTCTTCTCACGGATCTAACCATCTGGACAGTAGATGATGACGACAAAACATACAACACGATATTACTCGGGGCTGCAGCCGAGCTGCAGTCCACCGCATCGATCAATAACCACAAGTTATCAACTACCCACCATTTATCCTTAACACAGACCCTACACTCAAACACAAGGGATGAAAACAACCAGCCAGCTGTTAGAAACCTAGGGGCCAGCAATATCGGAAACCCCCCGTGGCGGTGTCGCCGGCGTGTGCCAGGCGCGAGCGCGCACGGGGTTACCTCGACTGCGGGGTTGCCTGTCCTCCATGGCGTGGATGTAGATGACGCGTGAGTTGGGGAAGGCGCTGTATCGATCGATGGCTTGAGACGAAGTTGAAACCCGACCACTCACGATGGCGACAGCAGTGAAGACTGACTACGTGACTTATTTGAACGCTGCGCAGGTGAGAGAGGTGAGAGGCGGGACAGCGCGAGGACGGCGTTTTGGGACCCTTCGCAACGCGACGGCGGCCTCCTTTAAAGGAAGTCGCGAATCCGCGACAATTGACTCGTAGAAATTCTTAGCGAAAATATCGGTACTTTTCCGTTATCCGGACCCATTTCTTCGAATGCTCCCATGTGATACTTTCTTTAGTCTAAGAATAACTTTTTATAGTTTCTACGAGGACTGCCTCCTTGCCACGTGTCACAAAAAAATTGACACTTTTCGGTTCATTCTGACATGATTTTTTTTTCGAAACCATTTCCGGGGAGGTAAAAGAGATTGTAGTCACTTTTGAGCTGTTTAATTGTTTTACATAAAAGCAAAACAATCATGAATTTGTTTTAGATCATCTTGCTTGCTTTCAGTGGTGATTTAATAATGCTTTTCTCTTCAAACCCTTTTGGCCATGCGATTTTAGCCAGAAAAGACTATAAATGAAGCTTGAAGTACCTTGCTGCCGCTTATTTTGCCTCTTAAATGATTTCATCTCACGCACTTCTCTATTCCGAGCAAGTCTAGTCTGTTCATCGATAAGAGTATGTCGTTATTATTATGACAATGTTCACTTTGAAATGCTTGATCGAAATGAGGTTGAAATTGACTAAAAAACAGACTGAACGAAAACTCTTAGTAAAACCTGTTAAGCATGCAAATGACATTTTAAATTTTTTTGACATGTGGCAGGAGGTTGGCACTCCTCACTGTAAAGCTGAGACCAAATATGGTACAAGGATGGAAGCAATACTCTTCTTTGAAAAAATGGGTCCAGATAACGGAAAAGTACCGAAATATCTTGCCGCCAGTGGCGGTCGCAGGATTTCCGACCGAGGGGGGCGCGACAAAAATTTTTTTCAAATGAAGGTGCGTGGCGTTAGCCACGCACTCCGAAAGAATTTTTGGGGTGCTTCTCTAAATTTTTGCGGGTCCCCAGCCCCTAAAATCTGAAAAAAAGGGGGCGTGGCGTCAGCCACGTTCCCGAAAAATTTTTTTTATAGCTAATTTGAATTTTTAAAAAATTTTTAAAAATTATTTCAATTATTTACATAAATAAACAAGTCGTTTGCACATTTTTATAACCCACTAGCTGGCTTACCCGGCTCCGCCGTATCCGGACCAAACTTGGCACACATACACTTCGAGCCCCGGCGGGTGTCACAGTCCACTTTTCGTTATCGATCGATGTCGATTTTACCGATTTTTATCGATTTTTTTGCAGAGTTCACCCACAGGGCTAGGAGTTGGCACAGGGGGGGAAGTGAGCATGGGGATTCCAAATACAATATTAGTTTTCAGAATTATCGATTACTTTTATTGATTTTATCGATTTTTTGTAAATTTTGACATGCGAGGCTGGGATTTTGCACAGGGGGTAATCGAGCATGCTGATTACGAACACAATATTAGTTTTCAGGATCGTCCATTACTTTTATCGATTTTATCGATTTTTTTTGTAAAGTTTGACCTGCGGGGCTCGGAGTTTGCACAGGGGGGTAATCGAGCATGCTGATCACCCCCCTTGGGGATGATCAGCATGCTCGATTACCCCCCTGTGCCAACTCCCAGCCCCCTAGCTCAAACTTTGCAAAAAAATCGATAAAATCGATAAAAGTAATCGATAATCCCGAAAACCAATATTGTATTCGGAATCCCCATGCTCGATTACCCCCCTGTGCAAACTCCCAGCCCCGTAGCTCAAACTTTGCAAAAAAATCGATAAAATCGATAAAAGTAATCGATAATCCCGAAAACCAATATTGTATTCGGAATCCCCATGCTCGATTACCCCCCTGTGCAAACTCCCAGCCCCGTAGCTCAAAGTTTGCAAAAAAATCGATAAAATCGATAAAAGTAATCGATAATCCTGAAAACCAATATTGTATTCGGAATCCCCATGCTCGATTACCCCCCTGTGCCAACTCCCAGCCCCGTAGGTGAACTCAGCAAAAAAATCGATAAAAATCGATAAAATCGATATCGATCGATGACGAAAAGTAGCCTATGACACCCGCCGGGGCCCGAAGTGTATGTGTGCCAAGTTTGGTCCCGATCGGTTCAGAAATGGAATTTTCTATTCGGAACATACGTACACACATACATACAGACAGACAGACATACAGACAGACATACAGACAAACAGACATTCAGCTTTATATATAAGATATATTACTTTGGCTGGGGTCCACTGAAAAAAGTGCCTGGAAGGGTGGGTGAGACTCTTATAATGGGAGTTCTCAGGTGGAGGCTTTTTTAATGTAAACCTAAACCTTGTACCACTTTTCTCCTCCAGTTCATACCCTGTCCCGTTCGAAATGTAAACCAATGTTTTTTTGGAACTCAATTAGCCCCTTCACTTTTAAGAATCGGAAACAGTCGAATTTACCTGGAGGGGACTTTGCTTCTCCTGTAGCACCTATTTATCAACGCCATTGCAAACAGTAAGATCACTTTCCGCTCTATCTGCCGGGTGAATGCATTGCTACGAAACAACTGCTTCGTACAAAAATTTGTGGATGTTTAATGTCGTTTACTTCTGTGGCATTCTTGCTCAAAGACGAAGCAGAACCAAAAGATAAGGTGCGATTTATTCATATAAAATCTACAAGATGACTCCCTCGACAAACGATTATTTGGAACGATAGACAGTCAGCACCTACCAACCTTATTGGCAGAATTTCCTCAAAACAGCATATTAAGTGGCACATTTCCATGAGGAATCTGCCAAACAGGAGGCAACAATCAAAGCTACAATAAATTATTGGAAAACTTCAAGTTGTGCAAAGCTTGATAAGAGCGCAGTTGATGCTACATGCGTGGAGTTACAGAAATTAGTATAAAATTAGAATAGAGAGGGCTACGCTCCCAATTCGGATTTGGAAGATGCACGATGAATACCGTTAGGAAAGCATTTCTTAAAACCAATTTTTTTGCACATCAATCAGTACAGGATTACTATAACACAGAATGTAAAGTAGCGGAAATTTCACAATCAACCCGACAAAGCATGAAAAACGCGTAATATAAGCTAGATGAAGTGTACATAAGGAAGATCTCAAACGAGCACAAAGATGGCATTCGAAAGTTATGAGTGGATATGAACTTGATAAGCGCTAACGATGAGAATTTTTATTTCTTGTTGCTTTTTTGGACATCTCTGCTTCTGCTACTTGTAGCTCTTGCCATTTCTTTAGTCGATCTAAAAAAAACGATAAGAGATCTAATTTCTTGGTGAATCATCGAGAATATTCAAGTATTATCACGAAAGTGTTATCTCTAAGTAGTAAATAAACCCCAAGAAATTCAGAAAAAAACCAACAGAACAGGATAGCTGCTCACATTAACAAAGACTTCCATTCACAAAAACACTTACCCACGCATTCCGACAATCCGCTGAACATCTTATTGTTCAAATTAAGAGAGTCGCGTACGTATTTTTCCTGATCGTAATCCACAGTGCTTGAGCGAGTAATCAAATTGCTCAGTTCTTTCATCCATGTCTTCAAGTTCTAAATGAACATTACGATAGGTAAATAAAAATCTGCAGTACGACGGCAGTCGTCTTGCAACTAGAAAAAAACTCAATAACGTTCATACTCCACCTGCTCGAGATTGTACTGGCTATAAAGGGCTTCTTCTTCAGCAGCTGTGAGACTCGATACGATTTTCATCATGTCGAATGTTGTTTTATCGGTACCCTGAACAAAAGTCGATTAAGAAACCTCGTGTACGACACAACTACAACTAACATTTCTACTACAAACAAGCGAAAGATCAGCATCCTCGTTATCACCGTCATCACCACTCGCCCGAAGCATGAGTTCTTCATCATTCATAGGCGCGGAGGCACCACCTTCATCGGCACCAAGTTCTTTCACTCTGAACACAACTACCGTCAATAAACGGAATAGCCAAAACTTGTTCAATATACCTGTCAGCATAGCGTAGCGTGTTGATAGTGTGCTCACAGGAGGACATACCCGGACTAATCATGGCAATCTTAAAAAAAAAACAATTAATTCGCATGGCCTAACTTTCCCAAGTGAGTAAAAGTAGAATGCACTTACCATACAAGTGCGCGCTTTTTCTCCAATGAACGAATCTCGTAACACCAATGTTAGCTTAGAGGTTCGGAATGGCACATGTTGGCTATTTTTAGCCATAGCTCTGATACATTCCTAAAATAATAATAGATAGCAGTAAAAACAGAAAAACGAAAGTCAAATTACAACTATTTGCAACAATATGATGTACCTTACCTTCAAAGCCAGCAGCGACTTATTGATTTCTGCACCTTCCATTCGGGTTTGTCTATCAGAATTACCGGTATCCTGACCACGTTCGTTACCCGCTAAATCTATCAGCGAAAACTTTCCCCATAATTTATTGCCCCTGAAAATATGTAAATAAGGAGTAACTACAACTGATTTGCGTAAATACCTCCTCAAAACTATTTGAAAGACGGCATGGGATCTGCTGGAGTTGGAATTTGCAGATGTGGCACCTGCAGTGCGCATATCGGTGCCCTGCCGGATCAGATCAAGAACCTAAGCATAATGTGATAATGAAGAAACCGATAATAAGATTGAGATTCATGAAGATTTTCAAAAAAAAAAAACAAAGTAGAACTCACATCGTTTTCGCAATTCACAGGAACCTCCTCCAATCCAACAACTTGTACTTCTTTTTTGCCATCTTCAAGAACTCGCAATAAAGCTTTCTGCTTCAGAAGGTCAAACACCTGCAACGGCAGCTTATAGTTAAAGCACGGCTCTGCAAGTCTTTGAAAAAAGTAGACCAACCTTTCCGCCATAAATCTCAAAGAAGCTGCAGCTGACAGAAAGATTCAGCTTCTTGTACTGCTGTGAGTGTTGCATTTTGAATACGTCGCTGGCAGTCATGGCATAAATTCCACTAGCACAGTTCTTAAAAAAAACAGCAATCATAAAACTATCGCAAAAGAATACCGAGAGTAAAGCTCACCTGGTTCTTACCCGTAAAATCACCACCCATAGTATGCGTTTTTCCTGAACCTGTCTGTCCATACGCAAAACATGTAGCAAATCCTTGGTCAAAAATTGTTTTCACTAATGGTTGCGCGGTGAATCTGTAATACATTGAATTTGAGGGTCACGGCAAAAAATGACAACAAGATGCTCACTTATAGACCATTTCATTGGAGGTATTCTCGTCAAAAGTGTAGTCAAATCGAAACTTCTGATTTTCCAAGTACTTCGTGAGATCAACTTTGACTTGCGGTTGATGGACGATCAGATGATCGCGATTGGGAATCGTAATGACCTAACGAGAATAGTGAAGTACTTTAGAGTAGAAAAAATCTTGAAAGATGACAATATGGCGTATGTAAAGGGCTGGTGGAATCGATTTTTACCTCAATTTCCTTCCTGCTTATTTCTTTTTTGTTCAGCGGCCTCTTCCTCACACACACGGAGATCCGGTTATCTATTACTTGATCTGTCATCTTTAACGGACGATAGTCTATCTAAAAGAAAGAAACAGAGTTGAGAAGAGCCTATGAAAATCGGACTATTGTGCACCTGAGATTGATAATCGCGAATCATCAAGAGGAATTGGTAGTTGGGATTTCCTGGATCAATGCTTTTCTCCATCTCCTTTTGTTTTTTGATGTTATTCTAGAAACACATGGCTGCTGGATCAAAAGTCAAACAAATGAAAGAAGCAAATTCATCCAAAGTGAAAAGTCCTGTAACATATTTACTACAGGCAACTTATATACTTCTAGTCATCTCTAATACATGTAAAGGCACCATACACTTCCAAAGTGGAGCCCCATTTCAAAATGCACATAGAGGCCAAACGAACAATATTGGCACTTGAGAAAGCAAAATGCAAAAAACGCCCCCGCATGTAAGCAAAAATTGAAATGCCAGGAGCATGCATAATTTTATAAAACGAGCGCAAGTTAGCGCCAGCTCAATCAATTTTGTGGAAAATTTGAGTAGAGAAATGCCACCTAGATAGTGTCCAGACAACGTACGAATATAGCTATAGTATACTATACGAATATAACGTTGTTCCGAGAGGAAAGGGCGATAAAAGCTCATTTTGCTTACTCCAAGTGTAAGCACAGAGGCCTTTTGGGCAGGGTTGTTATGATTATGTGCAGTTACTTGCTGCTAAGAAATGAGAATTCTAACAACGCACTGGAAATAACCAACATATTTAGATCAAGGTTTTGGGCTGTAAAATCAGCAAATTAAGTTCAAAAAGACGAAATCATTTCAAGGTTAGGAAAAAAAGGTCAAGACACCTTGGAAATAACTTCAGCTGTTCGATCAGCATTTCCCACAAATTTGAGAAAGCAGTAGAAAATCTGGCACATCACCGCCCAAATGTCTCACTAACTAACCACTTTATTCTGTAAGTGGAAGTCTGCGGCAAGTTAGAAGAAGCAGTCGGATGCGCCAAAATCACTCGATCTAAGCGACGCGTAATAGTGCTATAACCACCTTCGGGCATGGGCTACCAAAAGTGCTAGTTACACATACAGTCCATGTTAATTACCTGTTCCCTTTTCCGCAAGCGCAAGGGCTTCGCGCCGCGTTGGCGCGCGTATGGCTCGGGCACTCAAATTGGCCTCATCGATTGGTGGCTCGCGTGCGGGCTCTTGCGTCGTGCATGCGTAGTTCACATGCGAAAGGGAATACGTAATTGACATCGACTGTACTCCTCATTTATCCAGGTTAATGAGTAAACAATTAAGGCACCTTTGAGGTCTAAACCAAGAATTGCTGAGATACCTGCTGAGCCCTTCTCTCTTCGCGTTCTTTCTGTAATCTTTCGATGTTAGCAACTGTCGACGATTTCATTTTATGATCAGGTACAACTACGGTATCGTTCAGATCTGAATACGGGGTTTCTCTGATAAAGAGCCCGAGGTCTGAACATGCTTACATACCTTCCATTTCGGACGATCGTATCATACTTGGCGGAGGAGCATGTTCAACTGGAGTTGTCGCGGCACTGGCGCCAGCTGCTGCACGTTTGGTAGCTAAAAGACCTTTTCCACTCCAATTTTAACCATAAAACCAGTGCACTAACCAGGTATAGAAACTTTCTGCGGAGCCACCAAGCCTCGTGGGGCTTGACGTGGGTGAGAATTCTGAGCATGGGCAAAATCATCACCAACTATGGTAAGATCACTACCACTTCCACCCCGGTCCAAAAGCATAGATCGACTGCAACATTTTCTCAAGGTTTACGAAAACTACGCTGGACACCTTGCTCACCGAACAGCCGCGTTGGTACTAGATTCAGCAGGAACCCGTTGTGTTGGAAGTGCAGCTGCAGCAGCCCTTCTATTTGGTCGTGGAATGTCGAATAACATTTCATTTTCATCGTTGGCTTCCTGCAATAGCATCACTAATATACTTTCCAATTAAATGCAAACGACAGCTTCCATAATCTAGAGAAGAAACTTATTAGAGAAATAAAACCAAATAGGAAGCCGTTTAGTATAGGAAAATCACAAAATGCAAGTAACTCAGATACTTAACAAAAAAAAACATTGTTGTGCAGCTAGGCTATATTGTTGGCAAACAGATTACGTCATTGCATCAATGAAAAGCATTGTTTGAATTTTCAATGACTCAAAAATCTTGCAAGAATTACTGATACGAAGTGATGATCTTAAGAGGAAGCTCAATCTGCTTAACCTTTGCTTCCCATTTGAATCAACCCTAATGAGACTTAGAAATGAATGTATATGTGAAGAAAAAAGCACGACTATTAGACTTGCATGGGCACACGCCATACATGATCCGCTTCACTATCGATCAAACCGTGAACTGACCAACAGAGAAGTGGATCAAGTGGATCAAGTATGAAGTGTGCATAGACAACATGATCAAAGTTTGATATGTCAGTCTACTATAGAGCCGTTTACCAATGAAAAGCAGCATCAAAATTACCACACTAACTTATGCATGATGCAGAACTAAATCAAGAGCAAAAGAAAGAATGGGGTGAAAGTCTATATATGAAAACAAACCACATCATGAGCATGCACGAGCGTCTTCGACAAAGAATCCTTCCCTTTCAGTGTTGGATTGATGGCTACCAAAGAAGCAAGGTCGATTTCCTTCCCCTTCGTTTCTCCCTAAACCGATTATTGTCTGGGTAAGGAGCTTGAGTAAAGATGAGAAGATACAGACTGCCAATTTTGAAGGAAAAATAAGCTATATACGATGTAACTACTGCATATGATCTCGTAAAAAGACAAAGAGATACTCCATCGCGCTTTTGGAAAAGAAAACGAAAAAAAAATTCATACTCTGCTTGAAGGCATTTGTCCCGATTCTGACGCATTACAAAAGAGCGAAGGCTTCGATCCGTTCCAAAAATCGTCCATATGTGACCACTTTTGGAAAACTTTCTTGACATTACCCAGTTTTTGCATATCTTTGCTGAAGTCCTGCTGATGTGATTTCTACTTGACAAGTAGTTGACATTGCTCACTGCTCAAGAAGAAATGGGGTGCCGTAGTGAGTAACGAATGTTTAGAAATGAACATGATCTCGGGATTGAACGGTGATGTTGATATGAATAAACATGCTATTATTCTTATCTCATCTATTTCAGATCTACCAGCTTAATGACAGATCTTGAGTTGCTGGAAAGACTTATATGCTACCGATTTCGATAGAAAAGCCTATTTTCTTTTGCATACACATTCCGAAAATTTTCGGCGCTATTCCAGTATACCGACCCCAAAAATTGAAAATCTCGGATTTCGCTCAAACTCGGTATAGGGGGGTTATTCGACCCGCTGATGCCAAATACCATATCGATTCCGTGCGATAGAGCCATTTTCCGGGGGTTACGGTGGGTATACGGTAGGGGCTCAAAATCACAAAATTCTCTGAAACTCGGTAAGAGGGGGTTATCCGACATGCTGAACACGAATGCGATATTCATTCGTTACGGTATCTCCTCATTCCGGGGTTATGGTGGTTATACGGTAAAAGGTCAAGATCACGATATCCGCTGAAACTTCGTGTAGGGGGGTTATTTGACATGCTGATCACGATTATAGTGTTTATTAGTTACGATAGTGCCTCATTCCGACATTACGTTGGGTATACATTACCAATACCAACGCTAGATCGAGATTCAGGGCTTGAAATCTCAGTCACACGTCGGAAATTTCCTCGCCCTGCTTTGCCTAGGCAAAAGCCGCCGCAGGGTGTATCGCGCGCGGCGGTGGGTGTGGAAAAGTGAATTAGACCCTCCTACAGTATACCCACCGTAACCCCGGAATGAGGTGCTACCGTAACGAATGGAGATCATATTCGTATTCAGCATGTCAAATAACCCCCTGCACCAAGTTTCAGAGAATTTTGTAATTTTGACCTCCTACCGTATACCCACCGTAACCCCCGGAGAATGGCGCTATCGCACGGAATCGATATGGTATTCGGCATCAGCGGATCGAATAACCCCCCTATACCGAGTTTGAGCGAAATCCGAGATTTTTAATTTTTGGGGTCGGTATACTGGAATAGTACCAAATTTTCAATAAAGCGAAACACATATTTGACGCAGAGCTTTTACTCAGCAAGACATGTCCAATTTTCCAACTTTACATCCAACCCAGAAAATCGAAGCGCGAAGCTTTCACCACCACGCATGTCTATTCGAATGAGTCATCGACGATTTCCGCGGTTTCGCAATGAGCTCGTTGAATGCTGTGGGACTACCAAATCCCAGGCAGTACGCTATAGGCTATGGGCTAAGCTATTCCCGATGTTTTTCTTTATGATACAGAACAAGTTCTGGTGGCAGGATATATTGTATATGCGCGAAAATCAAGGACAAATATAAAGCGATGGATAACGAAAAAAACAACATCAAACACAACATACCTTTTCAAACCATTCCACAAGCACAGCTCTACGTTCCGGCTTCAACTGTGAGACAACAGCACCATGTACACGTCCATCGGATCTAAATTAAGAACGGTGAGAATGAGAAAGTGGGAAACGGAGGAACGACATAAAGTAAATCTAATAAAGGAATACCATTTTCCGAATGAAACTATGTACACCCCCCCCCCCCGCCCAATCCTCTTTCCTCTTTCCGTCCGCCTTGCTCATGCTAATGTATATTTTTGCAAACGCCACAGTCCCAGCCGTTTGTCATTTATGGTTATTTGCACTGACATAAGCAATCTTTTCTAACAGAACGAGCCAAACATCGAGCACGTTCAAAAAAGTGTAATAAAAAAGCAAACAAAATCACGCGGAATCCAAACCTAGGAGTTTGATAGGCATTATGGACTGTTACTAACAAAAGATTTCGGTCACTAACACGCAGTTGGATCATCTCCTCAAAAGAAATCTCCCAAAATGTTTATTATAGAGGCACGTCCGCCATCTTTTACATCCTCTCGCTAAATATCTATTTCGTTGTTCACCGATGCCTATGATTTTGTTTCCCCACTTTCATATACAAAATACTCGAGCTTCTGCTCATATCAATTAAAAGGCCTTGTAAACCACTGTTCAAGCGGCAGCCCGTCATTTTTGACGAGAAGATTCAGCTGTGAACTCCCGCCCATACCGTACTCTCGCCCGATGGAGCACCATACTCGAGGACATTGGCTGGTCCCGTGCTGAAAATTTGCGGTCTACATTCGGTTAACCAACCCAGAAAAAATTCGTAAAAATTGCTGCATCAATAAGTTCCTTCCGGACAAATTTTATTCCTTTTAAGCTTCGATCTGCACTTCACTAGGTTTACCTTCTTTCGCAGCTAATTCAATTTCTGTCTGCTACTTGCTATCAAGACCACATCATATGCACATGAAGTGGAATTACAGGCTCATCCCTTCCACCATTTAACGTAGCTCCATGTCGAAACAGATAAAATCGGAACAAACTGATGGTGATTACCTTTGTATGTCGACATGCATGCCGACTTCGATCCGCTCCATGCTCTCCGGTTTTGAACCTGCTTGTGCAACGGGAACAGGAGACCCTAAATCAGTGTTAGTCAGACATATCCACAATACAAAGAAATGATTTATAATACTTCCAACTTTGATGTAAAGCTTTCCGGACGAATTCAAACATAGGAAGAAGAGAATACGCCGAATTGATTGTGATTTAGCTACCAAGGAATGCAAATTCTAATCAAAAAGATAAGAACAACATGCTGTGACGGTTAACACTTCAATGAAATACAAAAAATAATGGTCACAGCCAGCTATGACTCATTATTGTTGCAAAAAAAACCAATTGAAGTTGAAGGATCAGGGAATTCAAATACGATAAGAAAGTACATAATCTGGCGCGTTGCCCCCACGTACGGTTGAAAAACAAACTTTTAAAAGTCGACAAAAGCGACGGGAACCGTTCAAAGCAAAAATCTATCGATCCTCGCAGAGACATTGCCGCCCCATCGAACCCGCGCTCAAATCGCAATTAGGGCGCGTTCTTCGGCAAATTATCCGGGCATAAATGTCACTCTAATGATTTGTATAGTTTTAGACATTTCCGAACAGATAGTAGTATAGCAGACCGAATCAATATAGGAAGAAAAAGCTCCAAGTAGATTTTTATAGGAATAGTAAGCGTCACATGCATATTAGCCTGTGTTTATGTAGCGCAAGGGGAAACTTCTGGTAAACAAAGTCTATGGCGCCTTTATGGATGAAAGGCTTAGTGTGTTTTTGTGCATTTTAGTCCTATATGCGGCCAAAAAATGGTGCACAAAGAGCCAAAGAATTGATGGCGTTGAAGTAAGTAAAAATTTGTTTGAATTATTGGATCCACTTGAAGGTTTTCCAGGACTCGAAATCGCTCTTTTTAGTCACAAAGCATTCAGTCAGGAGTAGAAATCAAAAATAACCTGTAGTGATTGAAACTGTGCAAGCGCCTTGTTTTTCCGTCTACTGAGTCTAGGAAGGAAGATATTCAGGACATCAAATCAAATTTAATCTCCACCTATCAGCTTCTTGTTAAAAGAAACTCAAAAAAAACTTACTTGGGTGTTAACCATGCAATACTTTTACTTCGAGAAATAGTTGGTTTGGTGAAGAAATTTCCAGAAAACGCTTAGTCGTTCCTTTTTATCAAACAAAAATCCAGAAGATTTCTTTCTGTCACTAAGTGTCTCATCAAAGACTATTTGATTCATTCTTATTGGACTTTTTTTAGAATCGCTTCTTAACTTCCCTGCTTTTTTTATTTGCTGAAAAAATTGAATTTTGTCAAATGAAACCTTCTCAGGGAAGTTCAAAACAGGGATTAGTCAAACCAGCTATTGACAATAATTTGTAGAAGTTTCTCGGACAACTAACAAATCAGAAAACATCTAAAAATTAGTAAGCAGACAAGTACTATAGTTATAGTAGTTTCTAATGTCCATCTGCATTTGGTTTGTCCTCAAAACACTGCCGACGAATAGATTGTTCTTTGAGAACCGAAATGACTGAATGAAATTTATCGACAGTAGTCAATAGAACTCTCACAAATAATCAAGTAATCTACTTAAAAACTTGTTACGAGAGTCTCTCGAAAGAGCAGAAAAGAGACAATGATGTTTGAAGTGCAAAATCGATTACTGAATCTAGAAAGGTAAATACGCTCGTCTGGGTACATACTGAGTTTCCCGATGCAATAAAATCGCATTTACCACTTTTGCACGATGCAGCAAGTCATAAATACGAAATGAAAGGTGGAGAAGTAAGTTATCGGGAGAGGATAGCTGAGAGGGAATGGGGCATTTAGAAGAGAAAAGTGAGAGGTTTTCCCCAAAATAGGTTCGAAAAATCATCTTCAGAATAGCTATCGATTAGATTTCAAACAAAAAGCATACAGAAATTGTTAAAGCTAATGTATGATTGGCAGTAATTTTCCTATAAGTTTTAATCCTTCGTAGTTGAATTTCGTTGAGATCTAGCGTACAATCAAGAATATGGTCAAGACTTTTGATTATAATTTTACAAACTTCTGCGAAATTTCTGAGAAAACTCCATTTTTTAAGATCACGCAGTTCTTATTGAAATACCCAGATAGGCAAAGGGATAAGATTGGCAAGGATTGCACAGATTGCATAAAAGCAATTATACACCGATCCTGCTAGGCAATACTTGAAAATTTTCCTTTCTTTCTCTGTTTGCGTTTTTCTTCATCTTTTTTTTGCATTTTTTTCACAATGGGCATTACATTTCTTATGGCAACAATCTACTTTGAAACAGAGAAGAAACACTGCCAAAAAATTCTCTAATTATTTTCTAGCTTATATGCGTAGGCATAAAAATTCGAAATGATAGCTGTAGAATGGTTGAAAAAGATTCTGAGTGTTCATATCCGATTAAAATTTCAAAATTAGCTCAGATAAACAATGGCAGCGACATCACCACTCTATCACCATTCTAATTTGAATTCTCTACCCCCCCCCCCTCCCCTCCCCGCCACCTTTGAGTTCCAATTTCTAGCCGTGACGGCCCAAGGACCTTGAAAGCATTTCAGTTTATAAAATTACTTCTTCAAAGGATATCGAGGTTGCGATTGTGCCAATGACTGGAACTTTGTAAATAGTTTATTGAAGAGGAGAATTTTCAAAGCTCCTATAGTTTTAGCAAAAATCCTTTCTGGTTGGAATCCGACTTGAAAGTTTACTGACAGGAATATTGTGTGGCTGAAATTCTCTGAGTTTTCTAGAAAGAACTAGCCTTCTTTTCTGTACGCTTTCAGATAATGTTTTTGTTGCAGGACACAAAACAAGCATCAAGCCAGATAGTTTAGTTTTTTAGAATTTCCACGTTACCATAAGATGAATAATCAGTAAGAAGAATTAAAGCATAGAAGGTCGTGAAGTTTTAGCTTACAATCTATGATGGTTTTATAATGATAAGTCAGAACTTCCAGCTGTGCAAACGTCGTCATTTGTGTGATTGATTCTGATTCTCATATGGGAGCTAGAAGTAGAGTTACAATATTCTCTTCATATAATCTTCATTGATTAAGGTAAGACTTCTACAAAATACCATCAATTTTGTTTTTGAGAGATAAATCGATACTGACGCATTTGGTTTATAGCAGCATGTATACAGCTTCTCTGCATAAAATCAATTTTGTAAATAGCCGGATCATAATTTTTTCAAACCATTCTGAATAAATTATGTATACAATGATAATGAATATTTAAGCGTCAGGCATTAGTTGCTAGAGCATGAATCTGATGCAAAATGGCAATCGATCTATTCTTTCAGAATCAGATTAAACCCACCTGGTTCCCATTTAGTTTCATTCCGGCAATACAGGCAGAAGCCAGACATTTGCAATAGCGGCAACTAACCAAATGCAACAAGCTCTATTATAAATGCTTCGAATTCTTTTTGAGTTGCTTTCGAAAGAATTTACTGGACGGAAGGAAAGTCATAAGCGCAGTTCCGAGTTGATGTAAGCCCAACATGGGCAATTTTCTAAAACTCTTGCGTGAATAAAGCAAAAATGCTGTGACGAAAGTCAGCTGTGAGCCATTCTGCGCGCTATATTTTTGGTAGGAAAAAGGAAGCAGATCTTGAATATGTTTGCTCTGGGGGGCCCAGTAGGAGAAAAGCAGGTCAAAGGTGGGAAACTTTTTGAAAAAAGAATCATCTAACGGTTCGAGAAAGCTTTGTAGGGAAATAAAAGCGAGAATTTTTTTTCGCATGATAGAAATCGCGATAAACACGCCCTGCCGGGAACATGTGGGCATGGAATCAAAATTCCCAAAATTTTTTTTTCAAAATTTTCAATTACTTCCCAATCTAAAAAATTTGGAAAAATTTATGAACGTAGGAATTGTTTCGTTTACACGTAGATGCAAGCCACTTGCGCAGAGCTTATGTGGGCTACTTTTGGAGATTCACGACCCATTCTGTGGGGGGGGAGGTTGTAAAACTATGGAGTGGACTTTTTGATAAGGCATCGTTGGATAGGGTCATAAACAAATTCAAAATGCGTTAATATTGAGTGCTAGACATGATGTGGTCCCATTAAGGTTCCAGGTCCATTTTTTCTTTCAAGTCTTTATTATGTAATGAGCTTTATCTTAGAGTTATGTTTATACGTGATTCAATCGGATCCGTGAAAGTGCGCTAACGGGCAAAAAAAAGTGTGGATCTGAAGAGACGCGCTTGCAGTTTAGTGCGCCGGATTGGAGCCGGATCCGCTTAGGATCTTGTTCAGTATAGTCAAAACTCTGCACTACACCGTTGCACTATGCACAGCTTTATTGCTTGCGTTTGTGTACGGCAAGGAAAGAAGAAGAAAATTGCTTCAATTATATTCTTTTCATCATACTCTGCGTAAACGCCTAAGATTTCAAAGTACTAATCTGCCACATGTTATTCGTGTGCCCATCATAATCAAACGGCTTTTACGAAGGCTTAGTTAAACTTTACGAAAATTGTAGAGAATTTATTAACACAAATTCCTACAGTCAGTAATATACATCATTATTCACTTCATTTATGCAGCTTCCGCGACTGTGATCTAAAGGATTATATGGCGCAGAAAAACAGTGGCGCAACAAGGAAGATAAATGACATGGATTAGAGAAAAGATCAACTAAAGAAAATGCACAAGCGCGTGCTCACCCATTTGAAAACAAAAATGAAATTTTTACAAAAAAAACTACAATGTTCTGCGAACTTGTGCTACGATATGCTCATCAAGACAAATTTTTCAAAAAGATTTATATTGGACACTTAGTAAACTTAAATTGTTCTTATTAGTCGCATTAGAAAGATAAGCACAACGCATTACGAAGTTTTTACGTTTGAGGCTGAGCCTAAAAGATAAGGTTAGAAGAGCGAAAAAAATTCGCGATTGTTGAAGGCGAAAATAATTGAGAGATTCAAAAATGCAATTTCTTCTGCCCTTTCAGAGAAAAGAATTGAGTGGACTCATATTTTTTGCAGAAATTTCCAGAGATTTCAGGAAGATTGGAATTACTACTACGACTGCCCGATGAAAGAGAATTGTGCTTTCTTCTTAATATCTATTCTGGGCTGAGTGATGGTCTTAAAAATAGATGTTTCCAAATTTTTGGAGTTCGGCAGCTCGAAACTTTAGTTTCAAGCACTAGGTCATTTTAAAAGTTCGTTTGCCGGTTTTTCAAAAAATTATAACTTCCTTTCCTCTCAACGGATTTTCTTACAACTACTTTTGTTTGAAAGAGAAATTTGCAGCAGTATCTCTGACATGAACTAATATGAGAATTTTCGAGACCTAGAGCAATTGAAGGATATCAAGAGTGGCATTTTCAAGAAGGGTCACGTATAATTCGGAAGGTTTTTCTGTTTGAGAGAGAAGTTTTTGCACATCTGGCAACTTTTTCGTGAGTTATTACGAAATAGTGCGAAAGGAGAATTACTTTAATTCTGCATTTCTTGAGAATGCTCAAAAAATCTAAAAACGTGCCAGCCAAAGCCAAAACAGTGTCAGACATAAGGTTTTATAACCTCCTCTTTTTGGCTAAGCGGAATACGAGCCGATGGAGAGCAGGTTGACTTTCGTGAAATAAAAGCTTTTTTTCAAAAATCATAACCTTTTATGAAAACGTTCTTTCAATTCAAGATTAGCTTAGCTAGATAGAGAAGTTCATGGAACATAGCTCTTATTTTTTTCGTCCTTTTTTGTGACGTTTTCGGATTCTTGGTGAACTTGAAACTACCGAACTCGAGTATCTTCCTTTCGCATTTTTATCACTGCCAATTGTTTTTTGTAGAAGGCGGTCGACATATTAGGCTGCTGCATAAGTTTTGTCCATTTTGAATTTTTCGACTTCAAAATGTCATGACTTCTTTCGAAGTCAACTTTTTTCCACGTTACTTTCAATGTGTTGAGCAGTTCTTTAGCTATCAGATGAATATTAAGACTTGCGGAAAACCCTATTAAAGAAGAAGCGATAACTCAAAAACTTCGCGGCGTTTTTCTTCAAAGTTGTCTTTCGGACATGGCAATGTTACCTTACGAGAAGAGACAAGCGTATTATTCAACCATGGAAGATAGACCGGCCTTATGTTGCGAAATAACGATAAAGATTAAAAATTCCACTAAACCATCTTGTAGCCCATCATAAGTTGGCTTGATTCCACAGAGTCTTCGGCGCCGAGAGAAATTTTGACCAAACAAAAAAGAAGCCGTTTTGACCTCTCATCGGTACATGTGTGCATACCTATTTACGAATTAAGAAAATTTTGGAACTTGACGCGAGTGGTAAAGAGGAACTGGTGGATGGGCCCTGCTAGCTCTTGCTTTACTCTAGCACCTCCAACTTTGAACTCATCAACTGCCTCTACTCGCAGGAAGTTATTGCTCGTAGACCATCTACACAAAAAATTAATGTTCGACAACAAGTTTTACTAGCAAGACGCTTTCTTCATGAAATTGAGCTTGTGCATATACTAGCCTGTTAAACACTTATTCAGCAAAAAGGACCTGACTTGAACACACATTGTGAAGATTTTTTCGCAAGAACATTTTCTTAACTGAGAACATGTCTCGACCACCTAGGAATCATAGATCTGCAATCTCCTCAGAGTGGGAATTTTATTAAAATGTAATGTGAGTTAGAAAGAACAAGAAACGCGCTTTCTAACAATACAAACAGCGTCACATTATAGGTAAAATACTTTTAGAACAGCTGCTCCAAACATAAGGCAAAAAAATCGGACAGAACTTGTGCAGCAGCCTAATATTAGGTCGTTTCAAAAGTAATTTCGCTTTTTTCAAACGGGCGCCACATGTGATGGAGCAAAGGTTTCTAAGAGATCCTGGAAGCATTCGATGCAGAATTTTATTCTCTTTCTAAAGGTTATGAAATTGTTGCAAAACTATCAATTAGCTTTCAGAAAACAATCAAGACCTGCGACCCATGCTTTTTGAGATGGACAAGTTTCACGATTTTTTAAAACTTTCGTTTCAATCCTCAGAAGGACTTCAAGTAACGATTCGATAGAGTAAACCTCATAGAATACAGTTCTATTTTTTTTCTTTCTCGTAGCTCGCTGTAGTTTCTTAAAAGATTCTTTGACAGAACAACCGGATTTTGGCAGGCCCACTTCAGCCACAATCGCATCAAACATCATAATTTTTCGGGATTTGAGGCTACCAAAATGGTACTATGAGTTAGCATTAATTTTACAAAGCAAGTGAAGGTTTACGGGTTCGAAATATCAAATTTCGAGTTTTTCGGGTACAGCCTAAAAAATGAGTTATGATGATTTCATCCCGAAAACTAGACGAATTGGAAACAAAAAACAAAAAAACAAAGGATTTTTTAGATTGTAATAAAAACTTGTTAGACTGGCACAGATCATTTTTTAAAAAGTTGTGGTAATTCAAGCCTTCTGTAAAACAAGCATGGCCTTCAAAAAAAACTCAATATGTAATTTATGATGTTAATCTTGTTATGCCAATACGAGGTTTGGTGAAGCCTTTTATTCGTGCGGCCTTACGTTTCGACTTATCGTCGTCTTCAGAGGCCTCAGCGCCGCTTCACCAATGGTGCACTGGTGGTACTGTGCAACCCGTTTTGACGTGTCAGTAGTGCCAATCAATCAATATGTAATGGTGAAGCAGGGAGTTACTTTACGTAAGCGAGGACCAAACAAATTTCAGCGATAGGAGGTGAAAAGTATGTCTTATGATTGCTAGGTGCTGTCTTTGAGTGCAGTCTGGCAGACGCACAAATTTAGTAGCAAGTTACCTAGCATTCTGAAGAATCGCTGGTTGAGATGAGAATGAACTTGCAAAACAAATTTAGACTGGAGAAAAGCGACGAAACGGAAAATTTGCAAACAACACATTTTCTCCAACGGAAAAAGATTGCAAATGTTTTTCAACAGAGAGACAGGAAAACGGACGGAACGTTTTGCGAGTTTGTTTAGGTGGTCGCGCTTAGCAACGGCTCGGCTCGTTGGCATATCTCGGTAACTAGTAGCAAACGCACCGAACTGCTATACGGCTTCTGTTTTCTCCAAGGAGAAAAAAGAAAGGAGAAAAAGAAAGATAGTAGTGGACAGCACCGAGTGGTACGATTTGATTAGAAAAACAGAATCATATAAGCTAAGAAGTCGTAACTACAAATCCCTAGGGAGAAAATAAAACCAAAAAAGCTTGCATTGGGTTGATAACAGTGGCGGACCGAAGGGCGGGAACAGGTGAAAGTCACTTACATAAGATATAAAAATGTGCTAATTACTTTGTAGTTCTGAATAATTTAGATAATTTTTTTGAAATTCAATTTAGCTAAAAATGAAATTATTTTACTTACTCACGCATTCCTTTGAAAAAAGTGCCTGGCTGCCGCCACGCCCCCTTCATCACATTCTGGGGTTACGGCCCCACAAATAATTTGGGAAGCCACCTCCATCCGAAGAAATTTTCGTCGCTCCCACCCCCCCCCCCCATCATATTATTATCACTGTCAGAATGCAAAAATGGCAATGATACAAGCTGATAAACAAAAATACTCAAAAATGGTTCTTCAAATTTCGCTAGCTAAAGTTACTATTTCTACCAAAATCCCATCTTGATTTTGCTTTCAATTTTATGACACGCTTTCCTCTCCGTGCAAACAAGATTCGTGCTGATAGGATGTTCCAATAAGTACCCGTGATTTCCAAATTTTTTGTTCAACTTTTTGCTTTCGATCAAAAAAAAATTATTATTTATGACAAAACACAACTTGATAAGCGTCACAAAAATAAATGTACTCCAAAAAATTATTCCGACAATTTTCAAATCGAATTTCTTATATGTATAATTGATGCAAGACTAATGTATCGATCTAATAGTTGTAGATGAAATTTTTTTTCTCACCTGGCACAATGCTCCTCTTCTTTCTGCTAATCGTCCGCTTAGTTTCCAGCATTGACCTAGAATTTCGCCATCATTTTGACGTCATTTGTGACAACTATAGCACTTCAATTTAAATGATATGACATTTATGGACGAGCGATCATCTACAACTGACTGCACTCTTATATCCTTTTGATTAGTATTAAAAAATTACTAGCAATTTAGATGAGACAAAGATAACGGTGATTGTAGAGCACAGGGGATAAATTGGACATGCATACATACTGTAAAAATGTTGAGGAGTCGTATAGAAGACGAGAGATGTAAATCCGTAACGGGGGCCACTTTGCCTGTCATAATGCGTGGCCTCGGTCGTTCGGGTGATGGGAGCAGATTCCGGGAGATTGCAAATATCATTACGATACACTTCTTAAGGTATACTGAAGAAAGAGGATAGCATAAACAACTGAACTTAAGAAAATAAATACTGAATATTTGCATAAATTGTATTACACTCGACGAAAAAATGTTTTTAGCTTCCTCAAAATTTTTTGATTTTTTTTCCATTTTTCTTATTCCAAAATCAGTGGACTTTCGATTTGTACATGTCATAAATGAAAAATACATTTTCTCCTTATTTGAAAAGAACCATTCTCAGATTCAACCTTCGTTCCTGAAGAGCTTAGAGTTTCGAATTGCATTCTTTTACTATCAACGCCCCCAAAGTTCATAAATTTTTTGAAAAATCACAAAAGAATAAGAGCCTTTGGGGAAAACAAAGAAAAAATGGATCTTAACTTATGTAACAACTAAATAGATTGTGACATACAGCTAGGAGAAAAGAAAAAGGTTTTGGAAAAGAATTCAGTAAGAATCAAAGCCCAAAGGGAGTTTGCCAGAAACCAATACCAATTATAGAATAGAGAAATTGAATAAGGGGAAAAAGTGCTCTGCTTTATGCATCGATTCCGGGATATTTGGCAAAAATAAAAAGCCAATAGAATTTTTTTCGAAGTCATAAAATCTCTCGGGGAGAAGAGCTGCTGGATGTGTGCTTCAGCAAATTGAATCAGCGCCGATGCGAATGCATTATTCACGATGTCAATCTCAAAGTGTTTGTTTGTCGCTATCGCTATATCATCTTTTGAGATAGAAAAAATTCAATGCGCTTTCATCTTTCGTAATTTCTCTTACACGACCTTTTTAATATTTGGGCGCTCCCGGGAGTACTCATTGTCAGCAGAAAGAGGTTACCAGGTATAACCCTAAAGAAGAAAAATTTTTTAGAATCGTAGACCCATCTATTTTATGGTTTTTTAAGGATGATTTCTTGTGTGGTTAGTACGTTAAGAGTAAACTCATCCATATTTCATTGAAGTTGCGCTATCGAATACGAAGTTAAAATCAAAGTAGTTCATTATGTGCACTCTGGGTACACTAAAAAAACATTTTTGAACTTGACCAGTCCTTGAAATTACCTAGTTATATATTATTTAATTTATTACAACACAGGGGGTGTGCAAAATATAGTACAAGAAGACTAATATACGGACGAAGATAATAGCTCGTTCGGATAACCAAACGTATTCAATTTGCAAATTTTGAAAAATAGCAAAATAGAGTAAAGTTCATCAGTACTGCACCAACCAGTGAATGAGCAAAATGAAGCTTCAATGACCGTGTTTGTTTAAACATCCTTGGTATTTTTGCAGGAAAAAAATTTGACAAAGAATTTTGCAGTATTTTCCCACACACACTGGCAGTAAATACGTATGCAAACGACTTCGCAGGTGAAAGAGCTAAGAGCTCCTCGCAAAACAAATGTGCCTGGCAATCTATTCATGATTCAAAGTTGTTGTTGCTCTTGACTACTAGAACCGAGCAACCGAGGTGGTTCTCTTCGGCTGACCAAGTGGAAAGCTAAATAATTATCGCTCCGAAAATTAGTGCAATAAATCGCATAATTCCTCAATCACATCACATAAAGTTTCGTAAAAAACACGGATTGCATCGCATAAGATTTTAATCGTGCTGTGTTACTCAAATATCAAGATATTATTGCAGAATTCTTACTTATTTTCTTCTGTGAGCTTTCAATTTTGATTCATACTAAAAATTCCGTTAGCTGTCAAAGGTCTTTCATACTCATTTTCTCTGCCTATGATTTCAAAGGCAGTGCCTCCGCAAGATTTCGCTCTTCGGTTTTTCACCTTTTCAGAGCCTTCTCGCCATGCTGAAGCCACATCTGAGCCTTCCAGCGCTTGAAAATGGCAAAAATGGGTTTTTTTCGAAGTCCCGTTTTACGTTCGCTCCAAATTACTTGTAAGAAGTGGGCGGAGTCAGGAAGTGGGCGGGTTCCAGAAGATTTCCGGAGCATATTTTGGGCTTTCCAGAAGCGCTTTTCTGCTTCAGACTTCACTAATAGATTAGCCGGAGGGTCTACCATTGATAACGCTGTAAATTCTCGGTACCCATTATTTTGAGAGGACGCTGCTTTCAAATTACAAGATTTACCAAAGCTTTTGAATATAGAATGTTCTAGAAGTAAAACTGCCTTTGGCATGTCGGCTATAGCTAATAATAACACCTTAAATTCTATAGCTTTCATTCTTTCTCCGTATTTGACCACGTTCCGTTTTTATGTAGAAAACAAGACATTAGAGAAGAATATCAAGATCCAGTCCGTAATTAAATTTCTGTATGTTTCGGTACCGTTGAAGGTAATCCAACTAGGAAACTTTCTAGATTTCCTTTCGGACCAATTCATTCCGAGACTTGCAGTCGACTTCAGGTAAACGATTACATCCATGCACAACTGTGAAAAATTCTAACTTACGGGGAAAATTCCATTTTCAAATCAAAATTTTCAACGTTTGATTGGTAATAGTGCCCACTCCTCTCCAACTTGAAAACGACCGCGAAAAAGAGGGGCCTACACATGAGTTTTAAAATTATGTCAGTGACTTGTTTTGAGTGTAAACGAAATTGAATGATTTCTGAATTTCTCAAAATTCAAATTAGCCTAAAGTAGGATGCCTGCCTTGTCCTCTCCCCCTCCCCCCTTTAAAAAATTATGCAGAACGTCAGTGATAGACAAATCGATATCTGATGAGGTGGTATATATTTTACACTAGCACTATACACTTTGTGCTATTTTTTGGGAATTTCAAGCTTACAAGGGAATGCTAAGAAATCAAAGTGGCAAATCTAAACAAGCACACTATTAGAAAACGTACGCTGACTTCGAATCTGCTCTCCAAATCAGCTTAGCGCCTTTGTGGGCGAAGTTATAAGCCGTTAATAGTCGTTATTTTGCCAAGAAACGTGAATGCAAAACGCAACTTGGCGGCAGAGAGCCATGTTTGGCTTAATGTTGAGCCAAAACATGCAGCTAGATTACTACATTTTTTAAGCCTAAAGGTGAGCTGAAAATGCAATAGTATGCTCAATTTCGCAATTTCTATGTATGATTCTCGCAATTATACCTTCGATAGTCAAGAGACTGAGCGTCAAAAGTGAAGATTGTAGAAGGTTAGAGAAGAAAAAAGACGCTAAACAAATATCAAAAACAAAAAAAAACTCCTAAAAACTGGTTGAAAACGCTGCAATAAGTTTGAAATGCTTTCATTAAATGCACAATCGCACAATACGCTAAGTCTGGTTTCAACGGATATGATTTCAAAATTGATATACACGGATAGGAACAATCTGTCACATTTACTGAAGAAGCCAAAGACAAGAATGCTGACTGCTACACTGTCGCCGAACACATTTCTTTTGACTGCAAACATGAAATTTGCAGTCACGAGCCCGAATATTACACTTTTAAAGCCGAAGTCACTGACTGAGCCTAGCATTCGTACATCCTTGCAATTGTGGAATTGAAACAAAAGAATTAGGAGAAAAATATAGATAGCTTGTTTTTACAGAGCGTATTCGTCAAGGCTTGTCAAATAAAATATCACATTGAATGTTTACCGCATGAGACAGAGCCCAGGGTACGTTCGGCTAAAATTACATAGCTATTCCCATGGCAGTCTGCCAAGCTTGCCCAAACATCGGAGATTTTCGGACTATGAGTTCCACTTGAGATATCTTTTAGACTTCATTGAGAAGATTAATCTTTTAGACTTCATTGAGAAGATTACTCTGTAGCGAAATAGAAAAATAGTTATCGAGGTGACAGCTAAATTAGAAGTACGTTCTGCTCACATCATCTCAGAGATCTTCTCTTTCAATCCAATTTTGAAAAAAAAACTGCTTTCTTCAGAATTGGGGATCTCAAACATAAGGTGATAATCGTTTTTGTGATACCAGCAACGTTCTAAAGATCGCAACTAGATTTAAAATTTGGAATAACCTCGAAAAACACTTCTTTTACATGTTTTCAAATGCTTGACACTGATAAATTATATAGTCAACAAATAGTGCTTTTTCCAGAGCAACCGCGTCGCAGCAGCGGACGCAACCTATACTACGTTGTCTGCGTCTGCGGAAAGAATTATAATTGCCTAAAACTCTGTAAAATGCCCGAATCGGCGTAGCTTCACACAGTTGAGCCTAACTCACCGTCTAAGTCCATCTCATTTAGAAAATTTTTTCTTCACCTAATCAAGCAATCATAGCGACTATGAGGCTTCCATAATAGAAATAACTTACTATTGCACTCATTATGTGATGAGAATCACCATTTTTCAACAGATTACTTCCCACTATTTTTAAGTTGTACCAAATTACTGAAATTAGGTTATACGCGCGCTGAATGAATCTGATGATTTCTTCTTTGAAAAGCAAGACTTAGGAAAAAAATGATAACGAACGCGCTTATGCAGATGTGCAAATACTAGTTGAGAGAGTGGAACTGAATGAGAATACTAAATGAATCCTCAAAGGTGCCCTCTGCCTACGGATGAGCAGGCTGTCTAGTTACGTTACGAAATGTTAGTTTAGTGGCAATGGTCGGAATAAGCGCAAATAAATGTTTTGAGTTGTGTGGACTGTTGTTAAGAGCAGTTGAAGTGAAGAAGACGTCTGCCATAAAAAGACATGGCTTCTTCAGAGGTTGCCGATGTC